GGTGTGGATGAATGCGCTGAAAGGGGATCGGAGCCGGGAGAGGAGCCGCCCGGCCCGGGCTGAGCTCCAGCTGCCGACCTGGGGAAGAGCCACGCTTAAAGCCCCTTTTTCCACCCTCCAGGCCGGCTCGAATGTCGTCTCCGCTAAGATGTCTCCCATTTTCCTTTCCTTCGATATAACACGTTAAAACGTCCACCATTTGTTCTGAAGTCTTTCTTGTCCCTTCTTCCCACCTCTAATCCCCCAAAACCTGAGCAGGGGCCTGGCGTTCAAGAGACGCTCCATAAATGATTGCTGGGGGCGGGCAAATGGAGCGGTCTTTCCAACGACAAGATTTGCATCTTTTTTAGTCTCCAAAATAAACTCAGCTCCTTTTCTTCCTTCATCCCCACCAGGCTCCTCGGGGGCCAACCCTGCCTCCTGGCCCCCTACCCGCACCAGCGGCCTGTGCGCCTGAGGGAGAAATGGGCAGGTACCCCTTACCTGCCCGGCTTCCACCTCTCCCCGTCCTGGCCAGTCAATTCAGTGTCTCTCCCCACCTCTGCCACCAGCTCTGAGGTCCCTCTGCTAGTCTAGCTCTGCACTGACAGGCTCGCTGTGTGTGTGTGTATTTGCCCATGCCCCCGCGGGCTGGGACAGCCAGGAAACTCAAGTGAAGGGGTCCCATTTCCCCCACTCTCCCACACCCGTCAGATCTCTAGCATGCTCCATTTCACCAGCTGCCTCCAACAAATAGCTGGGAGCAGTGAAAAAAGAATGGGGTGCCAGGTCCAGGGAAGGGAAGGTGTGAGGTTTATGAGAGACAGAGAAGAGGACTGGGCCAGGAAAAAGGAGTGGCTAGGAAATTCTCTTCACTCCTGCCCAAACCTTGGCCCTTCCCACTTCTATCACTGCCACCATCCCAGTCTTCTGACACTCCCAAAGGAAAAGCCAAACCCAGAAAGGACAGAACAGTGCTGCTCTCCCCTCCAGCTTGTCAGCCCACTCAAGCAGAACCATTCCTGACACAAAGGAAGTGTCTTGCTGCTCCCAGTAACTGGAGAGCCAATGGCAGGTCATCTGAGGCCAGAGGCTCCAAGGCACGTGTGTGTGCTGGGGAAGAGAATGGGGGTCTCTGAGGCAGGATAAACTAAGGGCCTATGGGTCCAAGGTGGTGACAGCCCAAGTGGGGCCCCATTTTATCCTAACAGCCCTGGGACCCAAGCAGGGTAGGACCCCCATTGTTCAGAGGGAAAGGCTGAGGAGCCAATCTGGGAAAGCAGTTCTCCTGACTCTGAGTGTCCCCATTCCCTTCTCCTCCTGAACAAGGACCCTCACACAATACCTACCTCTGTGGGTGTAGAATAGAGTCTAGTCCCTTCCAGTCCTGGCTTTGGGTGGCTGCCTCAGCTCCAGGATCCCTGCCACACCAGGCCAAGAGGGCAGGAGAAAGCAGGGCTCCATGAGAGCCATAGAGCTAAATGTGGGGCTTTCGGTGTCTGGTGTGACTTTGGGAGGTGCTGCTACTCAGCTCCCAGGTGGCAGGAACTAAGAACTAAGGCGACAGTAGAAAACTCAAGACCTCCCACACATAGGAGCTCACACAGAGCCTTTACATATATCATCTCCGCAGTCTCAGAACAGCTCCCCATCAGACAGCTGGAAGCAACTAGGCCCACGCAAAATGCCTGGGCAGGGGCCCCAGGCCCACAAAGGCTCTGGTCAGGAGTGAGTGGGTCTGGGGTCCTGGTGGACAGAGGGAATGGGTTAGCAGCAAGGGGCTGCTTCAGGGGCTGAAGGGGAAGGATTGCCCAGGAGTGTGAGGGCAGATGGGGCCAGACCCAGGGCTGGAGCTGTGCTCTCACTGGCGGTGGAAAGAGGAGACTGAGAGGAGGGAGGGAGCATGTGGGTGCTTGTAAATGTACCTGTCTCTAACTCCCCCAGGACCCACCAGCCCAAGGACGACCAGTGGGGCCCAGGAATATCCAGCAAAGCCACAGTATCCAGATACCTTGCGGGCAAGGAGCTGGCCACACTGGTGTCCGGACTCGTCAAGGCTGCCCGGGGGGTGCCCGCATCCGAGGATGCCACCCAGAGAATGTTCATCTGGCAGCCTCGGAGGCAGGGCTGCCCCCTCCCCTCCCCTCCCTCTCCCCCTC